CCCGGCCGTCGCGAGAGACACTCCGGGCGTCGGGGATCGCGAGACGATCTCCGGCCACCGTAAGCACGGGCCTGCGGACGGCGAGCACGGGTGACTCGCCGCCCGACCAGAACCAGGCCCGAGCGTACGGCGCGTCGCGTTCCGCGCGCGCCTCAAGGAGCCATCAGACCACCACAGATGGGGCCTAACAGGGCTGATGCCGATACGGAGCCGCGGAAGACTTAACGGGTTGCCGGGGCTCCGGCTCGAAGTGCAGGAGTAGGAACGGGGTGGTTTTTAGTCAGTAAGAGTCTGACACTCCCTCCCGCCTCACCCGGGCGGGAGAAGTCATTGGATGATTTTCCCCCCTCAAAAAAAAAAAAAAAAAAGACTTCGTGCTACTACTGACATTTTTTTTTAATCACATAAATACATTGCCCTTGCCGAGTCGCACTTGCGACCAGTCGGCCAACGAGGCAGTCTTAACTCTTCTAATTCATAATGTGCCATAATACTTATATTTTGTATTAGTCTTCATCTTTGTACTTCTTATTCAATATTTGCATGTAGGTATATCTCACTAGGGCTACATTAAGCAATTATAATAAGATGCTTAATTATTTCACACCTGATTGAAGTTTGTAAATATTTACATATTTTTACATGAGAAGCTACTTTGGTATTGTTTGTAAATCATCCTACAAACCTTTAATTTGTATTTGCGTTTGTTTAAGGGAAAATAAGTTCAAGGTTGCATAGCTGAATATTTAAATGTCGACCCAAAAAGTAGAATATAAAATTTTGCTTTATTTATTTATTCTTAACTACCTAGTTAATGGTTAAACATATTGTTAACTTAAAATATTAATCCTCTCTATTTCTTTTGTCACAGGACTGCTATGGAGCGACATGCGAATACGTTCGATCTGCACCCACCAGAAACATCGACTCCTGCGGCTTTGGTATGTAGAAATAAATAATACAACCTCTTTGCATGCAAAATTATTTAAATTACATACTTTACTAGTCCCGATTCTCATTTAAATCATGAACATAATATTTATTGATCAATAATCCATCGATTTTCCAAGAGCCTGTTTATAATTTAATCGTCAAGAAAATAGAATTACGTGGCAATTGTATATAGGATGTTAGTATTATTAAAAGAGTAACTCTGACTAGTTTTCCATTAATTAGTAATAGAGATATGCTGTAGCTATGTGTTCTTCGTAAATAATAATTTAGACTGAACAGTTAGTGCATTGGTTGGGCAATCTACCGAGTAGAAGGCATGCAGATCAATGCAAAATCTAGGGCAGACGCACAATATTTAAAAACAAAATGGCCAAATTAAATCTTAAATCTGAGGTAGTAAATAATTTCTTAGTCGAAAGTCTTCACGTGTCATAAAATATCGTATTACATAGTATGTTGTTTTATGAATATTCATCGGCATCAGTTTTGTAGGCAACGTTGTACTCCGTGGTGACGGGCTCTCGGCTCGTTTGAAATGTTGCACTTCACTAGGAAGTCACAAGTCTGACAAGCAGGTTTCAGTGAACCAGTGAATGTTTCTTGTCTAAATTTTGTAACGTTGACATAATATTACGCTTAATACAAGTTAAATATATGTTGACTGGCCACTCGAATTGTTTAAGGAAGGCGGCGACCAAGGCTACGACGGCCTATCTCAATTTTTGTTCCTAGTTCATTAACTCTTGAATAAGACAACTATCTATAGCTGCCATGTTATTATGCCTACGTTACTGCGTGCTTACCTACTCTACCTGTTATGATTCGAAGTTAAATAAGACGCATATAATTATGTAGATGGATACTTGTTTCATAAAAAAAATTGGCTGACTATGAAATCTTAGGTAGTTACTTACTCTTACATGCAAGATTATACTTATCTTTCTCTTCTTTCTCCTACTCTTTTCCCAATTACTTTTTCTTAGAGTATTATGATCTTATCCAAATTTAGCTGAATGTTAGTATTTCAAGTGATCATCATCTCAAGCCTTTTTCAACCAATTTGGTGTAGGCTTCCTTCAAATCTTTCCACTTAGTTCTATTTTCTGATGTTATTATCCAATTTTAAGTGAAGCGAAAGCGATTGTCATTTGTTTTCCATAGCCCTCAAAGAGTCACACGCATTCTTGATTTATTTGGTCATATTGAACATTAATGCCTCATTGGCCGAGTGGTCGCAAGTGCGACTGCTGGGCATGGAGTCTCGGGTTCGATTCCCGGGTCGGGCAAACTATTACTGGGTTTTAAAAAATACTCAGTAGTAGCACGGAGTCTGGAATTGTGCCCGATATATGGCAATAGGCTCACCCCCTAGTACATGTGACTCATAACATAAATAGTGAAAAGTGGGTGTTACATTGTACAGTGGCATAATGTGCACCTCTGCCTACCCCTTCGGGGATAATAGGCGTGATGGTATGTATGTATTGAACACTAATCTATTGTCTCTTCAACAGAACGCCGAGAACAAATGAACATGGCCACATCGTTCTTGGACGGATCTTCTCTGTACGGCAACTCGGAGAAGGAGCTCCGTTCCCTGAGGCTATATGATGCTGGCAAAATTGACCTGGACTCGTGTCGCAAGTAAGTTTTATTAAATTAATTATTTTTACATTGATGCAGGTTACTTCCAGCTGTCTGATCTGAAAGTTATAGGACGTCTTGTATCTAATCACTATAGTATAAAACAAAGTCGCTACCCGCCGTCTGTCTGTCCCTATGTATGATTATATCTTTAAAATTTGGCACAGGATTTTGATGCGGTTTTATTTTAATACATAGATTAATTCTTAAGAAAGGTTTATATGTATAATACATGCATATTGCACCCGTGGGAAACCGAGGAAAACTTGTAAATTGATAATTAATAAAGCGAAAGAGTTCTAAGTTTTTAATACAGTTAAAAGTTTGAATATTCTATTTGTACTTAATAATATATTCAAGTCTTCGAAGATAATAAATCTAATTATTATAATAAATTGACAACAGATCAACAACACGTAATCACAATACAGATGCAATTAATCTCCGATACTTATTCAAATGGTTCCATCAAAATCGTGAGTGAGACAAACACGGAAGAAAACAACTCGGTAATTAGATTGCATAATTGAAACCATTCCCATACATTACCGATCGTAGATATTATAGAAGTTGTGGCTAATGTGTGAATTATTCCCATAGTTTCGTACCTATTCAATCGAATAGATTGTACAAGCATTGTATTTAATATTGAACCTACAAACGTATCCGTGTTAAGACATAGTATGCAAGTACGCGTGACACGGTGCGCCTATAACAGTTTCACTTTTATGCCAATGACAAAATGTCAATCAATCAATTTACTCTTACATCGCTTGAAATTGTCCTCTCTAATTAACTATACTATTGTAATAATAGTTATTGTTTAATTTTTTCAACATTGTTCAAAAAGGTACGCACCAATCTTAGAATCTCGTGGTCAATCGCATAGATCAACTGTTCTTAGGACTTCATTAACTTAGGATTTTGCCCGGCCATTATTAATATCTCTTTTCCCAGGAAAGCGAACTGTTAAACTGTTTATAATATTTATGAACAATATTTCCAAATTCACAACAAACAAACTGTCTAAAAAGAACAAAACAAAAGCTTAGATAGTCTGACACTGTCCATAGATAGTTAACATGCTTGTTAAGTAAGTTAGAGAATTCCCTGACATAAATATATACTATCTTACACATATATCTTATAGGTATATGCTAAAATACTTTACCGCAAAATTCAATAACAGATTACGAAACTTATGAATGTACTTAATTTTTAGACAGCGGTCAAAATTGACGAATTATGTAAGACGCAGCTGCGAAGACGTACAAAGAAACTACCCACGTACCCACCATGTATTTACTATGCAAAATTATTTAATACCAAAACTCGTTTTGACAAATCGTAAATCGTTAGAATCGAAACAATCCTAAATGTTTAAAATAGCAATATCAATAATAATATCTAAACAACTGATTGTTGAAATCTACGCCTCAAAAAGTTTATTTACCCGTTTCACTTAACGTTCAATTGCTAAACAGATTTCAAAAGCACTTGCAAATATACCTACCGTTCAATATTTCCAATAAAATTCAGACAAAGAGCTTCTGCCCTGAAGACAAAACATGATAGAATTCTTAAGTGTCGTCATAAATGGATTGTATGCAAATAACATAACCTTGAGATGATTTGCATTCGCACATAGAGATTTCAATCATTTTACATATTTGCATTGGAATCTATTGAGTTGATAGGTGCGTGAATGTGAGGTGCATTCGATTATCATGACTGTGGGAAGGCCGCCTGTCAGGAAACAGATGAACTCAACGCTTGTTGCCGACACTGCGGTTTTTTGCAGCCATAAAAAGCACTTATATAAAACTAAATTAAGATGGTAAATGAGAAGAGGAAGTGTATAACAGTTTATAGTCTATTCAATCGGAAATATCAAAGATGAACATTGTTACAATGTAGCTATAATGTATAATCGTTACATAAATATCATATTGATTTATTGCCTCAAGTTTGACCCAATTCATTAGGCAGACGCTCATCACTGTCTGACTGACTGTCTAGAAACTTACTCATATCTATTTAGTAATTTTGAAACCCCCTTAGATTACGCGAAAGCCTCAAATTTTTCAAATTAACCGTCATTTTAATAATACATTTTTCATTTTCTAGGTGCAAAGATGGCTCACCCACAGCACCCTTGTACAAAACTTTGCTGTCAGAACACAACCGTATCGCTGGAGAACTGTACGCACTGAATCCCTTCTGGGATGACACCACACTGTACTTGGAGACCAGAAGAGCAGTCGCAGCTATCATCCAGCATATCACTTACAACGAATTCTTGCCTGTTCTCTTGGGAGAGGTGAGTTTCAACTAGAGTATAAATACTCTTTTTAATGTCAATAATATCCTCATTCATTCACCCTCTTCAAGATTAAATTCCTCTAGAAAAGATCGATAAAAATCTCCTGTCTTCCAGAAACCGAAATATCTTAGCATTTACTCTTTTTTCCATAACTATTACTCCGACATAAAATATATCTCAAGACGTTATTAAACGATAAAAAATATATTATTTGTGAACCTTCATGTATTCTCTATTTTAGGTTGGCATGGCAAAAGCAGAGCTGAAGTTGACATCTCTTGGCTTCTGGCGCGGATACTCGAGCGCAAACCGCGCTGGTGTCTACTCTGAACTGGTCGCCGTTGCACCCATCTTCCAGGCTATGATGAACCAGAAACTGGTAAGATTCTAATTACCTCGAACTAAAGCGAGTTGCATTCTTTTGATCACACTTTTAAAAATATCAATTTAAAATAATACGTAATCCAAAAGAGTATAATCATCTTGTCATATTTTTAGATCAACACCACGACCACCTTAGAACACCTAGTTCGCACCAGCGCTCAGCACGTGTCTCACTTCCCACCATCGGCTCAATGGGACCTCAACAGGGCACGAGACCATGGAGTCTCTTCATACCTTCGAGCTCTACGCATGTGTGAACCTATGGCCACCATCAAGTCCTTCGGAGACTTCAGCAAGATGGGTTTCGATAGAACACAGCAGGAAATGATGGCTGATATGTACAAGTGAGTTTTTAGTTTAAATATTTGTGAACTTTTGTATTGTATTTGTGTAATCAAAGATACCAAAATACCAAGTATCTATAGTTCTATACCATGCCCACTGTAAGCTCAGTTTTCTCCATTATCTAGACCCGTTGCAAAAATCCTTAGAAGTCTGAAAATGGTACCATATACTTCATACACTTCTTTATCGTCAATATTTTCCTAATTCCAGGAATCCCGAAGATGTAGAGCTAATGATTGGAGGTGCTATGGAGAAACCAGCGTCTGGTGCTGTGGTTGGATCCACCATTGCTTGCGTTTTAGCTCTCCAGTTCGCCAACTTGAAGAAGAGTGACAGGTAAACCAAAAGTGTCCTTTATTAAAATTCTAAAATGTCCTGAAAGCTCTTTTACAACCTCTATCAAGCAACGGGCGCAATTTCTAGTTTGAAAAACGATAGATATACGACAAGACTCAATACACTTTTCTGTTGCAGATTCTGGTATGAAAACGACTTACCGCCATCATCTCTGTCACCTGATCAACTTGGAGCCATTAGGAAAGTTTCTCTCGCCGGAACCCTCTGCGCTGCCCAAGATTATCTGTCTACCATTCAACCAAAAGCTTTCGTGAGGGAGGATCCTTACCTGTAAGTGTTCTTAGAATCACCCCCTTTCATATTTAAACTAAACTCTATTGACTTGGATTGGAACTGATTCAATCTGTTAATGAGCGAATTTGAATAAAAGACCTTCTAGTATAAGGCTCAATTTTCAAAGACTGCCTCGTTGTTCGAGTGGTCGCAAGTGCGAATATCGGACAATGGGTCTCGGGTTCGATTTCCGGGTTGGACAAAGTATTACTGGTGTTTTAAACGGTCTCAGTAGTAGCACGGAGTCTGCAATTGTGCCCGGTTTATGGCAATAACCTCATCACATATATTACATGGGACTCATAACATAAACAGTGAAAAGTGGGTGTTATATTGTACAGCGGCATTAAGTGCCGTAATGTGCACCTCTGCCTACCCCTTCGGAAATAAAATGCGTGATGATGATGATGGTTATTGTCATATCATTGATAATTTCCAAAAATTGATTCATGTACTTCTGTAGACGACGGTGTCATTCCTTTACGAGTAAATTACTGAGTAATATTAATTCAAGGGCATCCATAAAAATAGCTATTATCTTCTTCCAGTAACGCAGCCCAACACTGCTCACAACACAACCGTCTGGAACTATCTGCGTGGAGAGATGAGAGCGGTGCCAAGGCCGCGGAGAGATTGTCACAGGACATGCTCGCTACTGCTTTAGAGAAGGCTAAGCAAGAGATGGCTGATAGGAAGAAACTCGAATACATGTTGTGGGAAGCACGTAAGTTAACTCCTAAGTATTATTTTATTAAACGGTCTTTATTGGCCCTTGGAATAGTGGGGGACTATCATGGACTCGTGACTATTGACAATGATGATAAAGTGAAGTTTTCAGACCTTAAAGCTCAAGCAAATGTTTTTAAGTTATTCATTTATTTATTTAAAAAAAACATTGCCCTCCACTAGGGTTTTCTCCGGTGTCGTGGTCGTGGGTGCGTTTACAAACATACAATATCACATACACATGACACTCAGACCTGGAACAACAATCTGTGTATCACAGAAAGAGTTGTTCCGTGCGGGAATCGAACCCGTGACAGCCAGTTGCACAGCCACTGGGCTGCTGGCTGGCACTGCGCCAACCGTGCAGTCAGATTTATTATTTGTGCTTTGTGTGTGTTACTGTTACGGTGCAAAAAAACTGTTTTTCTTTATTTTCTTCTTTCATCAGTATTTTTATTGTAACTGTTCCAGGTGGAGGAGCCGACCCCAAATCTCCAGTTGGTACAGCAGCTTCCTTCTCCAAGGCTAACAAATATGCTCTCAAACTGGCCAACACTTCACTGTTCCTTGAGTTCGCTACTAACGAACTTATTAACACTATTGGCACCAAGTTAGTATACATGCATTTTATAGACTTTCAACTTTATTGAGTTGCTACATAGTCGAAAGTCCAATAAAAATTTACAGTTTGAAGTCCAACGAGAAGACTAACCTGAGGGCTTACTCTTGAATACAATTCCGATCGATCGACATTGGTATTGCGAAATTTCGTACTCTTAAGTTGCAACACTAGCGCCCATTGCATCCGTATTGCGTGGATATTTAATGAATTAAATGGTATTGAGTTTGGCTTTATATTCCGTACTCTGAATGCTATTTTAATAGCTACGATAGGGGTTGTATAGTTTTGAGATTGAATATTATTGAGATTTTATTGGATTCAAATTGCATTGTTATTGAGATGGGTTTGAAGAGTAAGCTAACTGGTCTACTGGCCACTGAATATTCATTAAGTATTTCAATGACCTTGATAAAAATTTCCTTGAGCTACGTATATGATTATTCTTTCTATTCTTTCCAGCCATCGTCGCAAACGTCAAGTCTTCGACGACTCCCTCGGTTTCGGTACCACAGACTTCGTAGACTCTTTACAATCAGTAGACATCAGCGGTTTCCTTGGCAACGACCAGTCGGGACCCATCATTGAACCTCAGTGCGATGACAAAGGTTCATGCGAAGCAGACAATCCTTTCAGAACATACACTGGATATTGTAACAACTTGAGGAACCCTAACTTGGGCAAAGGATTGACAACGTTCGCTAGGTTGCTGCCACCTGTTTATGAAGATGGTGAGTGGATTTGAAGCTTCTTCTAAGACTGAAATTTCAGAAGGTCCTAATTATCTAAGTATCAGTAATATTGGATAGTGTAAAACCATTAGACCTTTGACAGGTACTGTGGTTAGCTTTTGAAAAGTACTATAATTTGGAATACATACCCTAAAGCTTCTTCAGCGCCCTCTACAGTTCACAAACATGAAGATTTCTGATCATCTTGCTAATGTTTTATTCTTCTTCTCCAGGTGTAAGTCGTCCCCGCATCAACTCAGTAACAGGCACGCCCCTCCCGTCCCCTCGAGTAGTATCGACAGTGATCCACCCCGACATCTCCAACCTGCACACTCGATACACACTCATGACTATGCAGTTCGCTCAGTTCCTCGATCACGAACTTACTATGACGCCCATCCACAAAGGTGAGGATTAACTTTCTTTTAATATTGTTATAACGACAGTTTTATTAAATCGAAGCAATATGCAATATAATAAAACTTTTCTGTATTAAATACTTCCAAAAAGTTGTATGATTCCCAAAAAGATTCTGTATTATTAGTTATTTCATATTCTGAGTTAATTTATTTCGGGATCCAAGACAGTTATTCGTGTCCCTGGGACAAATTGGACTTGCATGTTTCGGTTTATTTGTATTTGTATCCACTGTGCATGCTGACTTACTTACAATGGTTTTGGGAGGCTATGACGACCTTGTCCAATTAAGAAAAATTTCTGATCGTTTAAACCTTTATATAACGCTTCCATTTTTTCCACAGGTTTCCACGAGTCTATCCCCGACTGTCGTTCCTGTGACTCCCCTCGCACGGTGCACCCCGAGTGCAATCCGTTCCCCGTCCCACGCGGTGACCATTACTACCCTGAAGTGAACGTTACGTCTGGAGAGAGGCTCTGCTTCCCCTTCATGAGGAGTTTGCCTGGTCAACAACAGCTTGGTGAGTAGATTCTGTCGTCTGTCGAAACTTTAAACCGTTTTTTTCTGTCCCATTGGTTAAGTATTCGCAAGTGTAAATACTGTCAGCCAGTGCACAAAGAGTCAAGTTCAATATCGGGACTGGTGAATGGAATTATGACTGCTGAGCACAAGGGGTCAGGTTCGATTAATAGGACAGGCAAATTATTGTTTTTAAATGTGTGTTTCGTACAATTAAAATCGGATGTATTACCAGTCATATTATTATAATGCGTCTGTGACCACTTTTCGGGATATTTTTTTAAACAGAATCCTTTTAAAACTACATCTTTCCTCTTCAGGTCCTCGTGAACAAGTAAACCAGAACACAGCCTTCATCGACGCCTCAGTAATCTACGGTGAGAACCCTTGCATCGTCCGCAAACTGCGCGGTTTCAACGGAAGACTGAACGCTACCACCAACCCTGCCAATGGAAGAGAACTCCTGCCCAGAAGTGACAACCATCCTGAATGCAAGGCCCCCAGTGGATTCTGCTTTATTGCTGGTAAATTGAAACTGGAGTACATTTTTGTCTTTTCGATGTAAAAGAAGAAGTATTTGTATGTAGAAGTAGTTTTGATTCTGGGGATTTCTGATTTATTTGTTACCGTACAACCGCAAGTTTTAGAGGACTGAACTGTTCGGAGCACAACTGAAATAAATCCCAACGCTCAAATTGTTTTAAATGTCTTGTGACTTCTAAAATATTTCTGCCAAATATCCATTAAACTGTCAAACACCAAGCGGTCACCGGTGACCGCAACCTATTGTTCTTTAATTGTGTCTACAAAACCGGTACTCGACGAATTAATGCACCCCAATGAACGTTATTAATTAATTCGTACGCCATAATTGGATACTTTTTTATGTAAAAAGCCTTTAAACGAGCAGATGGATCACCTGATGGTAAACAATCAGCGTCGCCCATGGACACCTGAAACACCAGAGGCGTTACAAGTACTGCCTTACCGGCCTTTTGGGAATAAGGAATTTAAGAATTGTTGGGAATTCGGGGATTGGGGTGATTGGGGTGGGGATAATTAAGTCTTGGGTACCCTCATTCACACGATGAGACACCGCAAGTGTTGTTCGCCAATAATAATGCCATAACATAACATCACGCCTTTTATCCCCGAAGGGATAGGCAGAGGTGTACATTATGCAACTGTACAATGTAACGCCCACTTTTCACTATTTATGCTATGAGTCCCATGTAATAGGAGGTGAGCCTATTGCCATATACCAGTCACAATTCCAGACTCGGTGCTACTACTGAGGATTTTTAAAAAAACCCAGTATTAGATACTTTGCCCGACCCGGGAATCGAACCCAAAACCCGAGGCAGTCATTTTATAATATATATTTTTGTTATATCTTTTATACTCATGACGAGTACCTTACCCCAGGTGACGGGCGAGCCTCCGAGCAGCCCGGTTTGACAGCGATCCACACGATCTTCCTCCGCGAGCACAACCGTGTGGTGGAGGGTCTCCGCGGCGTCAACCCGCACTGGGACGCCGACCAACTGTTCGAACACACGCGCCGCATCGTCGCCGCCACCTTCACGCACGTCATCTACAACGAGTTCCTGCCCAGATTGCTCTCATGGAACGCTGTTAATTTGTACGGACTTAAATTGTTGCCTTCAGGTAAATAAGTGTCTATTATTCTTTTTTTTTTTATTTACTTATAATAAAATATCACTTACCGAAAACTGTCGTTTACCTTACAGCCTTTAAAAACTATTTTCTTCTTCCAGGCTACTACAAAGAATACTCCCCGACCTGCAACCCTGCTATAGTCACTGAGTTCGCGACAGCTGCATTCCGTTTCGGTCACTCACTGTTACGTCCTCACCTTCCTCGACTGTCGCCCAGCTTCCAACCTGTGGAGCCACCGATCCTACTCCGAGATGGCTTCTTCAGGCCTGATATGTTCATGTCTGTAAGTAGACCTTTTAGCATTTTTTATAGGTTAGGGCGGCAAACGACCAGATGGTAAGCAATGGGCACCCGCAACAATAGAAAAGTTATAAGTGCATAATGGTCTTTAGGGAGATTGGAGCTCCGGTATCCATGACGCTGACAGCGAAACACTATCACTCCAATCGATCCCGCAAAAGGGGAGCATTGTTCTTGACTCTCGGCGATTATTCTTTTCAAAACTTGCGTTTAAAACCCAAGCAATTTTTGCTTATGTATAATAATAGAGGTCATATGAAAATCTGATTTTGATTTCAGCACCCACCAATGGTAGACGAACTGATGCGTGGTCTTGCCTCCACTCCCATGGAAACCCTCGACCAGTTCATCACTGGTGAAGTCACCAACCATCTGTTTGAGGACCGTCGTATTCCCTTCTCTGGCGTCGATCTGATTGCCCTCAACATCCAAAGATCAAGAGACCACGGTATTCCGAGCTACAACAACTACAGAGCGCTTTGTAATTTGAAGAGAGCGACTACCTTCGAAGATTTGGCTAGAGAAATCCCCGATGAAGTTATTGCTAGGTAAGTTAAAAAAATATATAATCCCTAGCACAATCGAAAATCTAAATCTTTAATGACAATTCTTCGAACAAGACATCAACAGAATCAGAAATGTCGAAGAGTAAAGAGAGTGGATTGATGGATTTAGAACATTATCCCTTGTTCTTTTGTCTAATATTCCCCAAAATAATCAAAACATTATAATTTTTACCCAAAATATTATTCAGGGCCTTTCTATATCCCTCATACGACTACCACACATAACTAATCTTCACTTCCATATTTTTTCAGATTCAAGCGCATCTACGCGACTGTGGATGACATCGATCTATTCCCTGGTGGTATGAGCGAGAGACCGCTACAAGGAGGTCTGGTTGGACCTACCTTCGCCTGCATCATTGCCATCCAGTTCAGACAGCTTAGGAAGTGCGATAGATATTGGTAAGTGTATATGTTTACCGATAAATCTACTAAATATGTATTAACAACTCGGACCTCGACCGTCGACCTCATCGTTCGCTTGATACAATTGACGTGTAAAAGTGCTGCCTTGTAGGCTATTTGCAGAAATAAATTCACTTGTTTCAATAGAAGTAAAACCCAATTACCGTACATTAGGCAAAATTGTAGCCCTATATGAGTGCTGAAAATCGATAGTACTAATAAATATTCTGGCCCTGAAATAGAACCTGACAAACACAAAGCATCATAAATCATTATTGACAAAGAAAGCTGGTAAAATTATTAAAATTATACTTCGATTTTTCAGGTATGAGAACGACAACCCGGCCGCTCGTTTCACGGAACAGCAGTTGGCAGAAATTAGGAAGACCACGATGTCCAAACTTATGTGTGATAACTTCGACCATCCCGGAGACATACAGAGGGCTGCCTTCGACCTGCCGAGCAACTTCTTGTAAGTATAATAATATGTTACTGTTAAATATTCTCCAATAAGTGCATCTTTTCTAAGAGAATACACAGACGTGACCTAACACGACAATAGTCAGGGCATTGTCAATTGACCTATTTTCTACTGAAACTAAAACGGTTTGTTTCTCTCTCTCTCTCTCTCTCTCTCTCTCTCTCTCTCTCTCTCTCTCTCTCTCTTTCTAACTCTAGAGTGATTAGAGAGTCAGTTTTCGGACCGTTCTTCCGATTCTGCCCAGCTTAATAATATTTATATGCACCAGTAGTCCTAAAAGGTCTATTTAAAGGTTGTTACTCTCCACCAAAAAGTCCTCTTTCATCTTTTCATTCCAAAAAATCTTTTTCTTAATATTCAATCGTTCTTTGTTTGGATGGTTGTCCGTCAATCACGCTGAAACTGGATTTTATGAAACTCACTTTCAGACCTGTCTGTTTATCAAATTTTATCATACCCTTATGGGCTGACTTTGGTGATCTGGTATTTTATATCCCGATTAAATGTTCATTGGATAAAATAGGAATCATATTCTACGCGGACGAAGTCACGGGCAACAACTAGTAAGAACCTAATTCTAATCTATGTCTTTTTACACAGGAACCCTCGTGTATCCTGCGCATCATTACCGCAACTGGACCTGTCAGCATGGCGCGAGAGCTCTGCACAGGGCTGTCTCATCGCGGGCAGGTCTGTCGCCGTCGGAGAGTCTGCCTTCCCATCTCCTTGCACGTCGTGCATATGTACTGTGGAAGGGGTGAGTTTAGTTCATTATTGTTCATAGACTTTTTTAACGGTTTTGTAAATTGACTTTAGCTTCTCCTACTAAATACTAAGCTGCTCCTATTCGACTAAAGCTATAGTTTCATGGATTAATTGACGCTAAGCAATCGGCGCTACCCATCGATGCCAGCTTAGTTACGAGTGCGTTCCCGGTTTTTTAGAGATAGGGGATTTGGTGATTTGGAATGGGCTGAGGGGAGAGAGGATTGGGCCTCCAGTAACACACCTCAAAACAGTGTTTTGTAGTCAAATCTGAAATTTCAATTCAATTAAATCTTTATGCATTTTTTGGACATGCCACGTTATTGAACCTGCAGTTATTGAACATGCACTGGTTTCAGTACATGACTACAATCTACAATCTATATACTATTCCTAAAATAAAGAAACTTAACTAAATTTACCTTCCATCCACTAAACAACCCACTTAAAAAAATGCACTAATCAAAACCAAAATTGCTCTTTTCAGGCTCAATGCGCATCTCTACGCATAACAGACTGTGCTCAATTACACCGCGAGTGGCCGCGTGAGGCTGTACAACGGGACGATGTATGTACCGCGCAGTGCGGGGCCAGCTCTACTGCGCATGCGCCGCGCCCCGCCAGACGGCCCCATCTCAACTTCAACTTCCCTGACCTTTCACCATTCGTCGCCAAGTGATCGCCCATGTAATACCTAGCTCTGTATGATGTAGCAGCCTGTTTTATCAGTAATAGTCCAAAAAGACTTATCTTTAGCCTTCAACTGCCGACAAAAACTGTTAAAGGCTAATCTTCCGCTAGCGTCGGACATCACTGTCCGACGCGGCATCCAATGTGTTCATGAGACTATCTATTAGACAAATTGCCTATAAAAGTATGTACGAAATTGACAGAAGCTAACGTCAAATTTGACGTTTGTTAATGTCATCCCCATGCATTGGTTTTTGTATTCGATTCTATTCGCGTTTATACGATTTGTTAAGGAATGCTCTTAGATGAGAGACAGAGAAAAAATAAATGATTGAGTTCTTTCATTGATATAACAGCTTACATTTAACAGAGCAAGGGTTTTGGTGAAGCTAATAATTTAAGAAAATGAGATTGACCAACCTAAAAATGTTTGAAGCGCAATACGCGCTCGTTCAATCCTAAAACTTAAGGAAGCAAATATTTGACAATCTCTTTGGTAATTTCAAGGTCAATTTAGAACAGAGTTACCACAAGTTTACCAGTACATTGAAATAATAGTCACCATACTATACGTACCCAAGTATTCATACATATATTTGACTGATGTCTTGTCTCATTTATAATTACTTTGTTATGAATTTAGTTTAAGTATTCTATAAGACCATTACTAGTTAACTGCTGTACTCGAAGATATTCAATGGTTACTCAAACTATGCCTTAGTAAAATTTTTTCGACAATAGATTAGTATACTATGTCCGTCTGGTAGATTATTTTAAAACATTAGACACGTGTCTAATGTTTTAAAATAATCTACCAGACAGTTGAAGAGAAAAAGTACGTACTTTTTCTCTTCTTACAAAATTGAATACTTTCGACGATATATTGATTTGAAATATCGTGTGACGTCACGATTTGCTACGTTTTTATATAGGGTAGAGTGACGTAACGACTTCCCACTCCTAAAGTTAACTCCGATATATTGTAACTTCTAAACTGAACTCTGTTGTTTTCTTTTCTTAACGGACTAAAAAAATATGTGTCTAATATTTTTTCATTATCTAACTGACAGACTAATTACATTTTGTCTACTACCCTATTGCGAAGGACTGGGTTAAGTAGCCATTAAATGACTGAGTACGACGGTAAATCCGAAATGGACGTCTGTAGCCGAACTAAAGCTATAAGGTCCAACAATGGAACAAATGTACAAACGCTGTAGATTAGAAAATGGTAAAAGTAAGTTCTATTTTCTAAAATTCAGTAGTGTTGTGTGACATCGATATTTTCTGCGAAAAATATTTTTTTTTTTTAATTATGAATGTTGTCGATGCTTATTTAATGGTATTCATTCGTTTTCTAAACTCGTGATATTGTTTAGAGTGTTATTTTGAGGAAAGAATGAGTGAATTAGTCTGTTTTCTTTTATGGTATTGTAAACAACTTGTATGCGGAAAATCTTAGGAATATAACGCATGACGTGCATGCTAATATTTCTGCTCATGGCCTGAATTCTCTCTGGCCTATTAGGTTGTAGTTATTTCTATTTTAGATCATATAGTGGTCTGTATTTCTTTCGTATGCAAATGTTTCACAAATAATTAATGTTACGGCCATCATGAGCTTTAAATAGATGCAGTGATGTTTATCGACACGCTACTAACAGTACTATAACTACACTGCATTAGAAATAACATTAGATTTATTCTATAATATTGAAAACGTAATAATAAATTGAATTTACTATAAGCACTTGCTGCTTTGCTTCACTGCAATAGAGTTCAAAATACTTTGTATCGTAGATAGACAGAAAATCCCTATTAAAAATTTTCAATTACTTCTTTAGCCTTCATACTGTATATAGAATTCAAAATCAGTTATAAAACATCTAATGTTATATCAAATGTATTATAGAATAACCAACATACCATCCAATGTACCGATGTTACCATACTAATATTATTTTAACCAGACTCCCCGTTTTTGGGGAGAAAAGCTGAGGCCAAAAGTTTTAGTCTCCAATAATATTAATACTTATATGTGTCTAGCTCACTATATTCACTGCCTAGTTGTGCCTAGGATTATATAGGTTCTTGTAAATTATTTTGTAATATATTGGAATAATTAATTATTAATAAGTGTAACACGTTCTTTAGTTGTAATTATTTTAAGTTCTACGTTCTCACCTAGACAACGAAAATTGAATATAAAATATTTTTTATTTATAATGTCGTTTTATTCATTCTTTTTATATTGTTGACTAAATAAAATTTCCCATCATTTCGTACCTTACCCACATAATATATGTTTTTCTTAAACAACGTCAATAAGAAGTAAAAAAGGGGTAGATGTAAAGGAGACCGGCAAACTTCTTGGTAAATCCGGCCCTCATAGACACGAATGAAATACTGTGGATTCTCAAGGACTAATATTCATTCAAACCTACGTAGGTATTCAAAAAAATATCGTAAATATTCAACTCTACGTTATTAGCTTTTTGATAGAACTCTGGAGATTCCAAATATTTAAATTAGTAACGTAGTCAAAAATTCCTCCTAATTTTTTTTTCCACTCTTATGAAAGATTTATTTATACTGCTGTCGACCTCTTTGTACACCTTAATTAAAATATCACGTCAACAAAAAAAAAATCAATTTTCTTCATATTGTTTGTATTCGTATTCGTGTGTATGTTTGTTTGTCCATCTTCCACGACAAAACGAAGCAAGGAATTGACGTATATTTTTAAGTGGAAATAGTTAAAAGGATGGACGGATAACTGGAACTCTGCACTCCGTCTTATGAAATCTTATTTAGAAAAAAGACAGTTAAAGGTTCATGTTAACGGTATTCACTCGCAGGGCTCTGGGATGAATATGGGTGTTCCTCAAGGTTCAATATTGGGTCCCTTTCTCTTTTTAGTATATATAAATGATTTGTCATATATGCGTACATTATTGCAATATGTATCAGAGTCATTGTAGAACATACTTTTTTAAAAAAGAGTAACTAATGGAATTTCTTGCTCGTTCTTCTCCATTCGGAGGTACATTTTGGAATGAGCACCTAGCTTCACCTAGCTTCACTGACGGACTGACTGACGGACTGTTGTTTGTTTTGTATTTGTTGACGTTTTAAAAGTACCAAATTATGGTTTAATTGAAATAAATGCTTTGACTTTGGGATGAAAAAGTAACCTATGTTACTACATCTTTTATATTAAATTTCGTGAATACTAAATTAACAATGTTTTCGGCTTACTCACGTAACTGTTTAACGAGGAACTCTACTAGTTTTAAGCCATGCTAGAGGCTCATATTCATGAGCAGCATTCCGCGACCTGCGACGCGGCGATTGTCACTTACTAAATAGGTAATTCATTCTCTACATAGGCTACTTTATATCTCTCTTTAATCCCCCATTTCCCTAAAATGGGGGTGAAAGTTTGGGAACATTACGCAATTTTCAAGGTAGAAAACTAAAAATTGGTATGTGGACTATTTAATAATTGCGTATATTTTTTTTTTGCTAACTTTCCCCCCAACTCCTTAAGGGTCAGCGCAGACCGAACCAAAATGCTCGCGCAGGGTCGACCAAACTTTTTACTGCTCGAGCAAGCAAGTGGCATGCTCGACAACGCGCGAGCCATCTCTGTTAAATATGGTCTGGGTTGCCATTGTAAAGTGTTCAGTTTAATGACTAGGTATTATCAGTTAAACTACGAAAATATTTCAATTTTAGTTAATATGCTACGCCCGCATAATCATCCATTTTAGTTCTAACATTTCTGTTGAACAACGACTCCCAATATGTTTGAGGTTAGTAATTAAAAAAACTCATAATTTCATAATTATCATGTATTGATAGTTAGCTACAATACTTTATTTTACATTTTTTTCTTTAATTGTAAGTAAGTACTTAATTAAGATAACGCAGAGTAATTGTCAGTTACAAAGTAGGATTCAGTTAAGTACTACAGTTATAACAATTTTGGGGTATATGGATTAAAGTTGCATGCGCAAGTGTTTCCTTTTAACATCCGGTCGCTGCATATTGAACTTGATATATTGTACAAACATTAAAAACGCTGCACCAAACCGATCAACTTTTCTTCGTCCATGTTCGTAGGTTGATAGTCATACGTCAGAACGGTTTCATCACTGCGGCAACACTGACTGACTGGCGCGAGCGGCACACGGCAGCGCGCTCGCGCATGTAGAATGCATACTTGAACACGCAGTCGGTTTCCTTGAGCATGGTCGATGGTCGAGCATCAAATTTGGGTGTATTCAATTTTGTGAATTATGATAATAATGATAAGATATTTTTTCAATAATCTCAGTAAATGCTCTGCTCTTGGTGTGCGCTGACCCTAAAGGAGCACGAGCAAAGCCGAGGACAGAAGCTAGTCCATAAATAAAATATATTCACTTAACTTGAATTCGTATTTTTTATTTAAAATCTACATCTTTGATGCAGCTTAGATACATAAATTCAACATTCTGTACGTTTCATCTCATTTTAAAATCACTAAAACTCATTAATCTGCCCTAAGAGTGAAAACAAATGTTAGAAGGATTTTCTCGAGTACTCACTGAAATATTTGAAATCTCAAGAGTTCAATTAAAAAACTAAATACAAAGGATTGAATACCAATATTAGTCCTTGAAACCCCACAGTACATATTTCATTTTTGTCTGTTAGGGCCGGGATTTACCGATCTCCGTGCAGTGACGAAATTGAAACAGCTTCCAGAAAGCCCAAACTATTCAAATCTGTTAATTTTGTCATTGGACTTACGACTTTATATACAGGCACAATAACGTTCATTTTGAACACGACTGCAGGAATTGGTCAGAAAAGAGTAAGTTGGCCTGCCTTTTAAAATCTACGTCTACCTATTTTATAACCTCTTACTACGTTATGCACTCCAAGAACTGCGTAAGGACGGCGACGACGACCTCTCGTGTCTGGCTCTGGTTCAGACCATGGTACGGAGCAAGTGCCCAAGTGGTACTGGGATGCAGTCTCCTCCTTCTGGGTAGCTGTAAGGAGGCGGGGCGCGTGAGGTAACGAACCTCCTCACGCCCATGCCGTCGCGAGAGACTCCGGGTGTCGGGGATCAGGAGACAATCTCCAGTGCCACGAGGCCCGTGGAAGGCCAGCACTATACTTATTTCTTTGCCCAATAGGGCCGATGCCGGAGCCGCGGAGGGCTTAACGGGTTGCCGGGACTCCGGCTCGAAGTGCAGGAGTAGGAACGGGGTGGTTTTTAGTCGTAAGAGTCGACACTCCGTCTCGCCTCACCCGGGCGAGAGAAGCCATAGGATGACCCCGAGACCCCTCTCAAAAAACTACTCTATTTTTTATCATCTTTCGTTCACCATTTCAATTATACATTCTAACTGAATTATGGGTCCAAAAGAGGAAGACTGAATCCACATACGTACTTTTGGATACTCACATTCATACTACTGTACAGTGTACACACTGACACATGCCGGTTATAAATAGGTACTTTCTTACTAAACTCCACGTTATTTGTGGAAATAAAAAACCCAATAATACTTTTCCTGACGTATACAGGATTTTAATGACACATGTAAATAAAAATCAAAGTCTTAAAATATTTACAAATCACTTTATTTTGTTGCATATCAAGTCTATTTAGTTTCCTTTTTACAATAAATACATTAGGTCTGAGTATAAAAAATTAGTGTTGCAAAAAAAAAATAAACAACACAAACTCTTAAAATTTACCTTGAATACTTAAAAAGTCTTGATTTTTTCAGGCTAGTCCCCCTTTAAGTTCATTATACACATGGCCTGGTGACAATTACACCACAACACAGTGTTGCCACCAAGTGAACAATTTTGATTGCACTGTCACTGCACCTTGACCCTGGAACAAAGAAATTATGGGACTTTTAACTCTGTAACTGCCTCATCGGTAGAGTGTCAGCTAGTGTTTGATTTTCGAATGCAAATGATTCATGGAGAATATCAGTTTACAGACATTTTGCCTCGTTATATTTTAGACATGAGGGCTTACTCTTGAATCCATTCCGATCAATCGACATTGGTATTGTGAAATATCGTACTCTTGAGTTATAGAATTAGCGCCCATTACATCCGTATTCCGTGGATATTGAATAAACTAAATGGTATTGAGTTTGTCTTTATATTCCGTACTCTAAATGCTATTTCAACAGCTACGATAGGGGTTGTATAGTTTTACCATTAAATAATTATTGAGATTTTATTGGATTGAAATTGCATTGACATTGAGATTGGTTTCAAGAGTAAGCACCCAGGTCTGTGCTATAACAAAGATGTTCATGTTCCTGACAAAGTGGAAGTTTAAAATTTCCGATGATGCTTTCACTCGCGCTTGCAACTTAAAAACACTTGCTAATAAGATATTCAATGAGTACGAGAGAAAATTTTACACTTATACACGCCAACTCATCAAGATACCCAAATATTTATTTTATACATAATTTTAATCAATAACTTATTCAAATTTTATTGACAGATTAGTGTAAGTTGACTTTTGACCTCTAACCTTTTTTGAGGAACAGTGAAATCAACAACAAAAAAACAATTTAAGAAACCACATACCGTTTGGTAGCCACAGTGATATCAGTTGGCCGCGACCTCCTTGAACCCGTTGAGTACGGGCGTGTGTTCGTTGGTCCGGCGCCACAGCCCGTACACCCGGCCCGGCACGGCCTGCCACAGCCGGACCGTGCCGTCCTCCGACCCCGTCGCGTACAGCTCCCCGTCCGGCGACCATCGGACGCAGTGCACCGGACCGAAGTGACCTTTGTTCGATTCTGTAACACATACAACAATATTGTCACCGTGTTTGATGTGCACTTTGCTTGTTCCTTTTTAACAAGTTTGAAAGAAGACTGCAATATAAAATACTGATTTTAAGTTAAGTAAGAATTAGAAGTTAAGAAGAATTAGTGCAGTAAGAAGGGAGCAACATACCTAAATACATAAATAAACAATAATATGAAACAAACTTATGAAAATGCTATCAGTTCTAACAAAATATTACACTGACGATTATCAAGAGTCTCCATTATGCTACTCATGTCTGTACCAGGTAACAGTGTCATCAGAATGAATTTTGTAATGCTAATTGCGTGCTTAGTTTACAAAATAAAGAATTCTAAAATAAAGCTCGTCGTGAA